GTGTGAAAATCCATCTGGAATGTATAGAAAGGGAGAAAAGCATCCAGCAGTCGTGGTTGCTCACACCTGGGGTGTCAGACCATGTCAAGCTGAGTGGAGGGAAACCACGGTGTCTCTGTGGGCATAGGAGAGGTTTTTCACAGTATCCAGGAGTCATTGTTTCATGGGGAGAAACTGATGCTGCCACACCAATGGGTATGGGGAACGGAAACCTGCCAAGGAGAACGTGTGGGGGACAAGGGAGGGCCATGGAGCAGAACTGGCCTGACAGTGTCTGCTGCTTGATGGCGTGCAAAGAGCTGGCAGATTAGGTGCTCACTGCTCTCAGAAGGAGGTGACTGGAGGAATGAATTTCCAAGTGCACTAGTAGAGCAATTCCTCCAGCTTTAATTTATCTACATCTTATTTGACACCTTGGGGTAATCATTTGGCCTTTGCTGCTCCATCCACATCCTCGTTTTTCTAATTTCTGTCATGTCTTCCTAATTAATATTGCCCAAACCTATCTTTTTCTCTCTCTTCTCTGTTAAAACATTTTCCTAGAATATGTCTGTCTGTGTATTTCACTAGTTTAACATCTTGAAATGCTTCCTTAAAACATGTCCTGTGCAACAACAGTGAGTGCTCCTGAAATTAGGACTGTATTGTAGCATCACCCTATGACAAAGATAGAGTAGCCGTGTGTGGGCAGTGTGAAGAACAGCTCTTCTCACATTGACTACTTGCCTTAGCAGCCTTAATAATGTCATTTTACTGGAGTTTTCTTTTTGCCTGGTACACAAACTAGTCACATTTAAATTATCTGCATAATCGAGAGGGCAATTATCACCAGAACTATTGAGACCAGCATATAGATGTATTTCATGTCCTCTGACATTTAGCATACCTACACACAGAAGAACTTAGACACACGCAGTGGGAAGGTGAGAGACCCAGTGCAGTCTCTGCCTTGCACAGAGACAAGCTCCAGGGTCCTGCTTAAGTTGACGTTCAGTCTGTGGCATACTGTGCCTCTATGCAAGGCTTCCTAGATCAACTTGCTGTGAAAATGGGAGTCACTGTCTCCAAGGAGCGTTTGGCTAAGTGTAATTTTTCCCTGAGTGAGACAATGATTCTTCCTGTGTCCCTGCCATTCCACTGGGAATGGACTGCATGACCCACTAGGAGAAATGTGCTGGCTTTAAAAGAAGTTCATGGGAAGAGGCTGCAGGTGTCAACTGGGCATTGTGTGAAGGACTAGTGAGAGAGGAGAGAGAAGGGAAGAATGGTGAAGAGTTGTGAAGGTGAAATCAGTAAGTCTGAATACGAGAGGGTGGACAAGGCACCGCCCAAGGAGAAACCCAAGGAGATTCTGATATGGTTGGTGTGATGGAGGCTCAGGCCATGGGGATAGGCAGGGAACTGGTGAGTGGGAGGGAGAAGTGTGGTCTGCATTTGGACATGTCACGGGATGGCAGGGTGGGGAGGGGAGGGGAGTGGAAATAATAGCAAGAGGATTGAAAATATTGTAAGAGAAAATGAAGGATTTGGGTCTAGCCTGGATGTGTGCAGCAGAAGAAAAGTTGAAGGCAAAGAAGCCTCCCAATTTAAATGACTTTCTTCAGTGAGAAGTCACGGTTGTTTCTCAGGCAGTCTTACACACTACAGCACGCAGGCCTGCTATGGAAAACAATAGACATATTTTGAGCACTTTCACATTTTATACATGAGATGATTGGTGTTTGCTGTAGCTTGCATTCCTTGCTGCTCTTTGTCAGCCAGGAGGCAGTGGCCTCTGAATCGGGAAAGTCAAAGGCTTCATGACCACAGCATGCTGTCTTCAGCGCAGGCAGGTGCTAGAGGTTCTCTGCAGGTCATGGACTCCAGAAACCAGGAGAAAGGCTTGTGGCTCATCTTGCTTTCTTCCTAACACTCCCATGACTGCCCCTACACCATCCTGCCAATAGTCGTCAAAGGAGATAACTTTGTGGTGGAAATGCAGGGGAGAAGTTAGAGCAAAACAGAAAGGAATAAAAGTCCTATTTTGAGATGCTGCTCTACTGACTCACTCACTTTGGGCCAGCTGCTTACAGGTAGTTCAACAAGAGCAGCAAATGAAGTATTTTCTGTTCCCATGGAAAAAAAAAAAAAAACGTGGTGACATTTTTCTCCATAGAATTTTTTTAAGTTTGTCTAAAGCAGGACTTCTTGACAATTTCTTGACAACCTGGGGCTAGACTCTGTTACAGCAATTTACTTGGGATCTGCATAGCAGTTACATTTTAAAAGGTCATATAATGGTGGCATATCTTTCTGGGGCCAGACAGAATTGTCCCCCCAGGCTACCAGTTGGAGAGCTCTAGCTGGGTTTTAAAAAAAGTGAAACAAAATGCAAATGCTATGTTTTTACATGTTGAGATTTGGGAAATGTTTAGGCAGAAAAGAAAGAGTTTTCTTACTTTCGAAGTTAACAAAATCCTTTTTTCCCTTTAGCAAAAAGTAATTTTTTTTTTAAAATCGACTTTCTGAACAAAAAATGATAATCAGTGCCATAATTCAGTGGACTTAGCAAAACAAATGAAAAGCCTAATTTTCTGTAATACCCTCCACATTTTTACAATGTTCTAAAGTTGAAGGTCAGCAGGGTGGGAGGTTTTGAAGACTAGTGTGACATACTTGTGATAATTAGCTACCCTTACTTCTGCTATTTCTGTCCTTCTGGAGGTGGTGGACATGGCATCATAGTCAACATGTTTATCTGAGACCAACAGTCACAGCAGGCACTCAGCTCTATGGGAAAATAAGTTAAAGCCAGAGAAAAATGGGGCTTGACGCCTGGAACTCAAAACTGACTGGACTTGGATATTTGTGTCTCAGAAGCTAATATTAAATGACTAAGGTCCACTAGCAATCTCTAATTCCCACTTTTGCTTGCCTGTGCACTTGTCTATGTATCCAAAGGGCACCATCCTGCTTTCAGACTGGAATAACTCACCATTAGTTTTGGAGGTTACTTTATCAAACAAGTTGGTGTTTAGGTTCTCCCAGTAAGACTCAATGTTAAGAAAAAAATTCTGCTAAGATCCCTCAATTCCTGCTCAGCTATGAACTCAAAGTACCTTGGAAGCAGCAATAAAGCCAGCCTCGCGACCTTGCCCCACAGGCTAGGTATGTGTTGCTGTCCTCCTTAAGACTTGTAGCCAGCAAGCCTTTGAGCTAAGAGGAGATAAGGTGAATACTTGTACAGAAGATATTCTCCCTTACTGGCCTTGGCTCTCCCCTCATTTCCCCATTTACCTTTGTTCTTCCCAGTTGTGAATATGTGGAGAACCAGGCTCAGTAGTCCCCTAAATATTTATGATAGAAATGGCAATTTCATTGACAAAGATCCATTTCTAACCCGTGGGTATCCTTGGAGTGTTAGTTTTCAATGTCACCTAGAGCTGTGCTGGTCTGCTCAACTTGTTATGAGCTTTTATATCGTTAAAGCTCTAAACAGCAGGTGGGCTCTGGAGAGAATGGGGCTAATTCATAATTTCTCATTTGAATTTCCCAACTGCCTCTTCACACCAATACTTTGTACTTTATTCCTCTAGGGCTTGAGAGTGCAGCAACACAATGACTACTGGTGAAGGGGAAACCTGTGTCCCCTCGCATTGGTAGGCAGGGCTCCTTCAATCAAAGGGGGAAATAGCCTGTTCTGTGAATGGGCAGGAGGAACTGTGTGTGGAAAAGGGGCACAAAAGTCTTGGAAGTACTGTCTGACATGCACAATAGCTAGCAAAGGATGAGGTAAGAGTTTTGGGAGGTGGGCTGTCCAGGAGGGGAAAGGGGAAGGCAGCATGGAAGGGAAGCATAGTGTGGAGACTGAGTGGCATTAAAATCAAATGAAACTCTGATAAGTCTTAACTCTGGAAGTTTGCCTGAGAGACAGAGTCCAGATCAGCTGCAAGTAACAGGAAAAGAAAAGCAATAGTTTGTCCCGTTGCACTTCTCAGGGAAGGTCTGCAAAGAGTGCAGGATGGTGAAGAACCAGAAATTGCACATCCCAGTAGTAGGCACATGGATGGGCAAGACCCCCTGTCCACCAGCTGGGATGGGATCAAATGTGGCAGGGTCCCCATGCTACCGCACTGCCAGCAGGGACCCTTCATAACAACACCTTCGCAAACAGCGGGATCCCACTTGGACACCATGCACACATCACCACAAGGCTGTTGGCTGGCCGAGTCCTCCATTTGTAGGTGCAGATCAGGGTGTCCCTAGCTGGTGGCTCGCAGGCAGCTGAGACTGTGCTGTTTCCATGCTCCAGCTGGTGGGGTTGAGCCAGCTGTGAGGCCAGAGCTGTGTAAGCACAGTGCAGCTTCCAAACCAGCATCTCAACATAGCCTGTCAGCTGAGGCACAGGGTTAGTTCGGTCTACCTGTATCTACTGTGGTGCTGGCTCGGGTGCAACAGGCTCAGATCATGGCTGCCTCCAGTCCGCCGAGCAGCCATCCCCCCAGAAGACCAGGCTTTCAGCTGATGTTCAGCCTTTGTCCCATTGCAGTATAATGCATCACAGCTGCTGGAAAGCTGCCCCGACAACTCTGTCTTCCCTTCAACCCCATGACCTGTTTTTCCTTTTCCTTAGGTACATAAATTCCCCTTCTGCCACATGCTCCCATTGCTGATCCCATCAGCATTTCACCTACCCCACCATCCCCCTCTATTTCGCTCCAGGTAGTTTAGTCTTTGCTGTACCCTCCTCACCTCCCCTTCCAAGGGGGGATATTTTCCACCCCACCGCCAGCAGCCGCAGCACCCTGCCCTGGTGAGATGCCAAACCTTCACCTCTGAGCAGCGCACACAACTCTGAGCATGAGACAATTAGGAGAGAAAGAGGGAAGGGGAAAAGTATTGACAGGAATAAATTGAGAGAAATCATAAAGCTTAAGCAGAAAGAAAGCAGTTTGAAAGGTAAAGTATTCAGAGAAAGCCCTTTCCTGGATGAATCTAATTGTTTTGTTATCTTTACCCACCAAAGCATTTACTTTGGTTTGTCGCCCGATCCACAAACACTTTCGAGGAGATGACATTACCGAAAGGCAGGAACATCTGCATCAGCTCAGCATCCCCAAACTCCTGGGGCAGATGGTAGATAAACAGGTTACAGCCCTCTGGTCCTATCAAGAGAAAAAGAAGACCCATGAATGGAGAGAAATAGGATATGAGAAAGCACATGGTGGAGATTTATTTTGGCATCCCCTCTCTCTGACTGGTAAGGGGTCACCTCTAGGAAGCTGTCTGTAGACTCTCAGAGGAACAGACAAAGCAGAAGGCCAGGAACACAGAAAGTCACCTAGAGGCTATGCTAGCTTCATTAACCTTCCAGGACAGACACCAGGATAAAATCTAGAGGCAGAAGAATGCAGCAGCACATGTGGCCGTGGAAAGACAGAATGGGGGAATAAGAACAAAAGGAGTGAAAGAATGCGGTTCATAGTTTTTCTTTGCTCCTCATGATCTCATTTCATTTGTAGAGTTTTGGGTGACCCACACTAACCTTTGCCTCTTCTCAGTGTCTGCATGTGGAAGTTTCATTATCCTTCTTGTGTCTGTGTGAGGACTGCGATAACAAGTAGAAAGATATGTACAAACCCACAGGCTTATTTTCTTTTGTAGAATTTCACATTCAACCCCCCCAGCTTGACTCCCCCAAATCTGGACAGTTTGGTCATGTCCCCCATTCTAGAGGGTTCTTCAAGAGAGATTACAGATGGATTTAAAACCAAATTACTAATCAAGAGGAATTGACTTTTTTGCCTCAGTGCTTTAACACAGTCTTACAGACTTCAGAGGGTGCTTGGAACAATATCCATAGAGAAGTCTTTAGTTGGAATATGCAGTTTTGTTAGAGACCTTCAGAAAATGGTCTGTTGAAATTGTATTTTGGGGTAGAAGAGGGAGAATCTGACTCTGGTCAAACAGCCTAGAATGAAACTTTTCAATGTGACTTTTATTTTTAAGCATGATGTACTTGAGCAAAAGTCAAAAGAGAACAGGTGTGTCCAAGTGGTTTTGTTGAAAAACATAAATATTTAAACCCTTTGCAGTGTTCACTAGCAGAAAACTGTATAGTTTGAAGAGCCCGGGGATTGTTTTTTTCATGGTCTTATTTTCAAAGGTACTTGCAGCTGCTGCCCAGCTCTACACTGACTTTGACAGGTAACTCCAGCTCTGGGGGGTCGAGATGAAGGGGATACAGTGTGTGCTCCTTGCCATGAGCAAAAAAAGAGAGAGGGAAGGAGTGTTTCCTCCTTGCCCCCAGCCCATGTGCCTACAGCCCTGTGACCTGACTCAGCCAACTTCCCCCATTTACGTCTGGGGCATAGTGTGGGGAAGGAAAGAGCTTTTTAATACTCTCGTTTTCTTCATCAGGGCATAATTACAGTGTCATAACACAGCAAATTACAACTTTGCCTTTCCTGTTAGGGAGAGGAGTTCGCGTAGATGCTCCCACCTTTTATTAGCCATTACTCATCCCCCCGGCTGGCAGGAGAAGTACAGCGAAGTCAGGATTCTGACAGATGCCCATTTAAAGCTCATTAAAATTCCTGGGCCTCAGCGTGATTGAAGTCACAGGCTCTCCACATTTCCTTTTGGATTAATGGAAAATGAAGCCCTAATGAATATTTGCTAAGCACAATTTTCCCCACTAATTTGCTAAAAGGACTGTCATGAAGGAACAGCTGATCCTTTGCATCTTGTGCATTTCCTAGAGGTCATAAGGATGGTAACAGGGTTTCTTCCAAATAGGGGGGATAGTGGTACGATGGGATAATTAACTAATTAGGCACCCGGTCATCTGCTTAGCTAAATTACTTTTGAACCTCGGTGGCCCACAATCAGGTTCCCCTATTTCATGCCAAGCTTTTCCATCTTCCCCCCCACCTTCTGTCTGCCTCTTCCTTAGTCTCCTCACTGAGCAACTATCCCTTCTCCAGTACTTGCTGCAGTTCATTTCCACACAATGTGGAGTTATTGGCATGATAATACTAGATATGAAACAGTCTGAAAGTGTTAAACAAACACTGACCCCCTTAGGTGTCTGTTAGAATTGAGAAAATTCTGCCCAGGAGAAGACCACGGTCCAGAATAGCAAGGAAAAATTCATTCCTTCATCTGAACGTGCCCCAGAGCACTTCTGCTGTGGGATTTGAGATCCACATTATAGTAGAATGGGTAAAATCTTGGCTTTGCTGTAACTAGTGGCAAAATTCCCACCGACATCACCAGAGCCAGCAGTTTGCTCTGTAAAACTGGCAAATTCTTTCAAAAATGCCAGCTGCATTTCCCAGGGTCTTGGATGTGTTGTGCACGAGTAGGGATTCTGCCTGCATGTGCTAAGAAACACCTACTAAGGCATAAGGCAGATCAGGAGGCACACAACTTCATCTGCACCAGGTTTAGAGGTTGGGCTCAAGGAGAGAACAACCCTTAGTTCACCTTGAAATCAGCTTTGCCTCACACTGCTCAGCGACCAAGACAAAAGGACCAGGGAGGATGTGAAAAAGCAGAGACCATCCTCAAAGCACAGTTCAGCTCTGAAATGTGGCTGGGAAACCCATGCTATGGCTTCCCATACCAACTCAGACATTTGAGGCCAAACTCACTCTGTTCCCAACTACAGAGGGGTTTTGCTAATTTCCAATGCTGAAAACTCCACCTGCTACTGAGAAACAACCTGGAGTAGTTTGATTTTTTTTACCATCCTCACATATGAAAATTCTGCCATTAGAATTTAACAAGCAATTTCTTGTTAAATCCACCCACCCACAAGTTACCTATCACAGTTAGACTCCCTGGTAAAGAATTCACAAACAAGCTGTCTCTCAGTCCTTCTACCTTATTGTGGTGGGTTTTGTCTGTGTTAAGTTAATCTGGGCACGCCATGGAAGACTATGTGTTTATGTTATGGCCACTTCTTTGTACATATGTATGTATATTTTTAAGAAACCAAAGGCATGAGTTGTTCAGCTCAGAATGCTATAAAGAGCTAAGTTAGTTCTCAGTGCACACATGGAATGAGTTTTAAAGGACTGGAGCAAGAGGAAGATCACAGCTGGTATGGCAAAACCTTAGTGAAGACTCCAACTATCTTGTTGGAGAGAAAGGTCTTGTTTTGGACTGAGTTAACAGATTATGGGAGATCAGTATACTTGGCAGTTCAGGGCTGAATACAGTACTAAAACTATGTACCACACACTTTACTTTGTTTTTCAAATGGGTTGTAAGTCAGCTCGAAATCTAACAAACCCTCACGGCATATTATGAGAAGAGAATCAAGGTTCATTTCTACCCTGACGTCTACCGTGGCTCTTGGTTTTATGGCTTTAAGTTATAGATATTTTTGTTCATTAATACACAAGAAACACAGATAGCCTTGATTTGGACAAAAAGGAAAGAAAAGTTTTAAGGAACTCACATTTTATGAATGGTTTGTAAATTACAGGCAAACCATGCTAGCTAATGGAAAACTGGTGATTGAGGGTGCAGGAGTATATCCTAGAGAACTCTGTGTTGAGTCTATGTTGGTTTGGCTTGATTGGACCTGACCTGGCTCTGCCCATGCTCCTCACCCTCCAGCTCATTGTTAGTTACTTAGCGTGGGGACAGCAGCAGACCCAACCTGTCCCTGGGTGTCCACTATCAACATGAGTAAAATCCACATACCTGACCTGACATCAGCTATCTATCATTGCATTCCCAGTACTATGAGTCAGTGTCATAAGGAAAGGCTACGACTAGACTGCTTTTCCAATAGTAATTAAAAATGGGCTGTCCCGTAAGGTTGTATGAAGTTAGCCTGCAGCCCTTTGGTCAGCTGCACACCTTACCTTTACAGAAAATACTCAGAGAGTGGAATTTCATTGTCTCTTCTGTACCTGCTTGCTATTGAATCCCCAGTATGCTTGAGCATAGGGCAGAGGAGAGTCACAAACCTGCACCAGATTATTTTAATATCTAAGTGTACTTCTGAGTTTCAGAATCTATGTCAAGATGAGTAATACCATACAAATTTAAAATGACTCCCAAGTTTTACCTGGTTGACGTGGCCTGAATGAAGACTTCATCTCTAGCTTTTGGATCTGTTCCACCCTATGCACCTCGTCAGCTGCTGGCAGCCTCAGTGCTCATGTGGAAGTAATGACTAATCTCTACAGGAACGTTGCAGCAGCCAAGCTGCTCTGGGCTTGTTATCCAAATGGGATCCAGGAGCAGAGACTTAGCATTGTTATTAACAATGTGATCATTGATGTTATTGTTGTGATAGGGCTAGTTCATTAATGAATCAATGTTTGTGCACATCCTTGCAAACATAAAGTACTCTTCTCAGCACTGAGCATTGTTATTATTAGAGTTCCCTCTTGCTGTGTTTTCCTGTTAAAGGTTAGAGATGCTTTAAGGTCTTGACCCTCTGCTTAAGAGGAGTGTTGTGTCTTAGACTTTCTCTCTCTAGCAAGCAGGAGAGAAAGCCACAGCATCTAAACGCCTCAGGAAAATGGAGGACACTGAGAACAGCAACCTACATCAAACTGGTGGTTCATTGCATATATCTGACCCCCAACCATCCTCCATACCAATTGCTTACAAGGAGCAAGAAGTTATGAGATAACTTGTCCACTGGGTGACACTCACCCTCAACCCACAGACACACACTGTGCCTCACAAAAAACAGGGGTCTTTGGGCAGTGGGTCTTCAAAGCTTGCACAACAGCTATACCTTGCTTCTGATGGTTCCTGGCACAACGCTATGCTGAGCAATGATCTGCTCGCCATTTTGTCCTGTGCTTAATCTAGCCCCAGTAAGTAATAAAAAGCAAAGTCCTTCAGCATGGGGGAAACATCTCTGTAATGATACGTTAGGTCTGTGCATCTGTTCTCACAGCAGGGACGTGTACTAGAGCTAATCAGGAGCTGGAAGTTGTGTTCCCCAGGAAATTCTGACATCGGAAAAAAATTAATTCCAAATTAGATCGAAATGCCAACATTTCTAATTTTCTTGCAAAATGAGATTTCTCCCTCAAAGTAGTTCTAGGCCATCGGAAGGTTTTAGTTTGATAGTGTAATCTTGATTCATTTCATTCTGACTGTTACACTATATTAAAATATTAAATGTCATTATATATATATAATAACATGTATAACATAGACTATATCTGAATTAGTGATCTAATAGAGGATAAAAGTTGAAATGTAATTATTTAAAATGAGGGTCTCTACACTAACCTGAAGCACCTCACTTAAATGCTTCATTTAGGCAAGCAGTCTCCTCTTCTTGTCAAAAGGGAGCAGTGGAGTCCCTGGAGGACAGTTGTGACTACCTGAGTGGGTTACCTGTGAGGATCCCCCTGCTCCCCACCAACTGCAAAGGGAACATTGCATGCCATGGTTGCCTCCCAAAACATTTACATGTAATAATGAGACATTCACTTCTTACTTTTCATGTCTCCAGTGCAGCCATCCTGTCCTGCAGACTAGATAACCAAGGCACCTCTCATAGTCAATGTAAAGAAATAGGTAATTTTACTATATGATTAATTTCATCCTAATATAGAGATTGTGCTCTAAAGGGGCTGATTTCTGTTTCCAGATTATCAATGGAGTCTGAAAGGACTAGACCAGCTCCTCTGCATAACAGGTCTTTGTTCTCTAAATAGCAAGTGTTTGAAGTCATGTTACTGGCTTCTGCTGAGGGGCCACCAGTGCTTTGTGTTCTATTAAACTCTTTATTCCAATACAATTGCATTTTTATCCGCATTCTTGTTGCTTGTCTTTAACCCTGAACATTATTGCCTACATTGATAGGAGGTCTTTCCATGGCCCATGCACATCAGTGTGCTCCTTTCCCTGGGGACTGAGGAGATCTTGGCAGCAACCCCCCATGAGGATGTTCCCACATATTACTGTTAGTGCCAATGATGTCATGCCACATATGAAAACTGAGAAAAGACTCAGTGGACTGGGAATTCAGACCAATCAGGCATCTAATGGATACTCTCTAGCTGTATGAGGAGAAGGACCAATGTGGTGGGGATGGTGTTAGGGGAACCAATGCAGTGGGGATGGCATGCTTGGGCCAGAAAGGAGGACAGCCCATTCACTCACCTTCTCTCTGTTGCTGTGGTATCATGGGAGGTGGCTGTGGGAACGCTTGGCTAATCTGGCCATAAGCAGCAGGATAAGCAGCTATACGGGAGAAAAAGGAAGAGAGGAAAGAGGGACAGATTTCAGTGCTGGGAAGCAAGGAGCTTTCACTCCAAACCATTATACCAAGCTAGAGGTGGGCTTTCCCCCTGCATTTTTGCTCCGGGAAGGGTCATCTTATGCAGCCTGAGATGTAGCAGAAGCACCACAGCTGTGTGCTCCAGGCAGTGCCACATGGCCCTGAGCACCCACCCTCCAGCTTTGTCAGCAGTAACGCCAGGGACAGCCACGCGGTGTAAATGGGGGTCTCCACTGAGATGTCTCCCAGCAGAGGTGCATAACCATCCCAGATGGCACCACAAGCACATTAGTTCATGAGCTCAGCACGTTGATGCCCATGCTGACAGCCACGCACAGGGCGCATGCACACGTTTCTCTGTATAATCTCTCTTGCACCCTGACTAATTCATATGCTCATAAAAACAGTTCACATGTGTTTCCTCTCTTACTCTAACCTTTGTATGACCACACTCTGTATAGACATAGTTGCACATACACTGTTGGATATACATTTTCTTTTGTGTCTGTAGAGAGTTCCTCTCTCTCACACAAACACAGTGGAAACAGTGTGCAGCAATTAAACAATTTTCCCCACCTCAGCTCCCCCACCAAGCAGACAAGGGGAGCCATTCAATACCACAGATGGTAGATGATGTGCCTTGATGCTAAAAATACAGAGTACGGGTCGCCTGTGAGCCCAGAGAGAGTGGGATAGAGGCCATGTGTGTGCAGAGGGGTTAATTAACAGCTCAAAGGGTTGAGCTGCTTCCCATCTATCAAACCTCACAAGCAATAAATGACAATAACTAAAACACCGGCAAATGAAGCCCTACATGGAGAATTAAATTAAGTTCCCAGATACAGCGCTGACATGAGATAATAGCCGTTCCTCAGTGGGAGCCCATGATTGCTGCAGTTACCACAGGAAATAATGACTTTGGGGTGGCAGCTTCCTTGCAACGTTGGCCACGGACACCTCGCAAGGGGAGGCTGAACACGGCAGGGTCATGGTCTGCACCAGGTCACTTTGGCTGGTGCCAGTCCATCAACTGCAAAAGAGCTGCTCAGCGTACAGGGCAATGGGAGTGGAGGCTGGCCCACTGGGAGCTGTGGAGAAAGCTGCTGGGAAGCCAGTAGCTCCTAAGCAAGCCTCAGACAAACTAGCTGGGGTATGGCCAGTGTAGACATATCCTAAAATATGGATATGTGCAGACATAGCATACCCTGCCAGGTTCTGCAGGGTCTGGTTGCCCATTTCTCCTCCTTGCTGCAGCACTCAGGAGACCTGTTATAGAAAGTGGCCACCAAATCAGTGGCCTGATTTTGCACTTGTGCACTGTCTTAAGCAGACTGGACCTGGTCCTGCCAGTGAAGCTGCACCAAGGCAGAGGTCAGTGGAAGCTTTTCCCTGGGGAAAGGGAGGAGGTTGTGTCCTTAGGGAGAGAAGACCTCAGGCTTTATGCTTGTTTTCACAAGAAGTGCCAATTTAATCTGAGAGTCTGTGGCCCTCAGCTCACACCTGTATCAGTAATCAGCTCTCTTCCTCCACCCCCCTCAGGTGTGTTCAAAGATTAAAAGCTTTAGAGAAGAGAAAGGTTTATTGGGAGAAAGTGTTAATACTAACGACCTGCGTACTGCTGCACTCCAGCGTAGGCTTGCTGCAAGGGATCTGCTGCAGTGGGGCTCTGTGCTGTGGAGACACAAAAGAGAAAAGGAATTAAGGGGTTAAAACATGTCAGACAGTCATTTCTCTTCCCTCATCAATATGTGGTGTGAGAAAGACAGACCCAGGGGCTCAAGGTCCCAGGAGAGGAGGAGCTCGCTCGCCCTATGGACATGACCACACAGAGCCCCTCATGATGGCCAGGAGGGCTCTGTCTCCCAGCTGTCACACTACGACACTTTGGAGCAGAGGTCAAACCAACCTTTCCCAAGCTTACATTAAGGAGCCCACCTCTGAACATATGGATTTTTGGCATTGCAGTAATCAACCCCAGAGAGTCCTCATCTTAGGCCAGGACAGACACTGTTCTACGTGCTGTGCAAACTCAGATCTCAGTGACAGCTACAGTCACATGAAACTTTCAATCAGCGCAGAAAACAACAGGGGCGTAGCAGGAGGAAGGAGAAGAGAACAAGCAGTGGCTCCTGCCATCCTGCCATCCCTTCAAAGAACTGCATTGCTGCCAGGCAGCCCCCTGTGAGAGAGGAGATGCTGCTTGGAGGGGAGGGGGACACCACTTGTCCGCTCCAGGGAGGATGCTGTGAATCTCTGCGTAAGGCATGCAGTCCCTTGCTGGCTTCAAAGTGCATTTTCTCTCTTTACAAGTGTGCATTCCTCCCCGCTTAAAACTGTTTATTTTTGTGAAACTTTGAAGTCTAGCTCAAATACAACCAAAGATAGTTAAGATTTTTTTTTTTCCTTTTCCCCTTTGGTTGATAGCAAGAGGAAAAAAAAAAGAGAGAGAGAGAGAAACGTGTTGGATAAGCTCTTTCTTTATCTGCAGCAATAAAATATTTAAAGCAAAGCTTGGCTGAACCTCCAGTCCAAATGTCACCTTGACCCTAATATTTCACTTCTTGTTATGAGTTTAATTTGTATTTATTGGTGCTGCACAGTTCTACATTTACGCAGTCCCTGTGGCTTTGTACTTGTAGGATGATCCCTTAGGGAGCTGCCACTTTCCCCCCTCCATCCCACCTTCTTCCTTCCTACAAGCACAGAGATGTGGCTGGAGGCAAGGACTTGGGGGTGTCGGCCTCTTACAAGGAAATCTAGTGCGGTTGACCTACCCAAGGAGAGACACTGACTGCCAAAGCGTGGGGGAGGTTGGCAAACGTGGGTGTTACGGACCCAAGGAACACGGACAAAGTGTTTTCTTACAGATGCAAATACCGGCCTGAACCTTAACTTTAAAGATTACCATTGATCATGATGGAAGCTTGCAAGGTCTTGCACTTTTCTCCCAAAATACAAAGAAGAATGGTGAGAAGACTGAACATTGAGGAAACAAACCTAATTAGCTGGCTGAGGCTTGGGGCTCCTGGTCATTATGGGATCACAAGGACTTTGAGGATGGGGTAGTCACAGGAAGAAATTAGTGGGATTGCAGTCTTAGGTTGGAATTTGTTTGCTTGATTTCCTAGCTGACTTTTGCCAGGTCCCTCAATGTGTGTGTATGTGAAATGGGAAAGCACTGCCCTGCTGTAAGGATTTTCACCCCTTGAAAAGGGGTGTGAGGAGAATACATTAAAACTTGTAGGACATAAGAGGTAGAGTTGGAAAGCTATACTTTTAAAGAGTAGATTCTCTAGACAACTGCAGGAAGTGCTTGACAAATATAAAAATTGTTTCCACTTATTCCTGTCTTCTTGAAGAAGGAAGCAACTAAAGTCTATTCTATTTAACCTCTGCTCAAAACTGTTTTCCTCTAAAAACAGAATGCTGAGCATATTGTTCCAGAAGAAAACTGAATGGCTGTGAAAGATTGAGTGATACACCAGTTCCTGCACCCCTTTGGGAGAACAGATCATAATAACCTGGACCCCCCAAAATGACCAGGTCCTGTCAGGTAGGAGATATGTCCTGAGGAAGGTGAAGGGACATGTGGTAGATGGAGCAAATCTTTATAAGGCAACTATGGTTTTGCAGTCTGCAGTAAAGGAGATGATCTACTGTGTCTGCCCCAAAGGCAACTGCTCTTCCTCGGTTGCACTCATCTGTTTATAGAACTAGGAGAAGAAATTGTCTCCACTGCTCAGGAGATACACTCACAGCATTTCCTTCCTCTCCAGCTGAGGATGGACTCAGGCATGCTCGTTCTCTCTCTGATAGTCTGACAATTATTAGCAATGACTGCCTTTTCGTTGATACAGGAGAAGTCATTGAGCAGTACCTGTCTGACTGTGGTCCTTTCCTTTATTCCTTCTCTTAGCTGGGCGCACGTGGAACTGCCCACTCTCCCAGCTGTAGCTGAGTCTATGTCCTGACCAGGACCACCTGGCTCACTGCTGAGCTGCTCTCCTTACCCCAGCTGTGGATATCTCGCCTGCCTTTGGAGCCATGCTCTCCCCGTCGTAACTAAGCTGTTCTGCTTAGGAAATATACACTGAAAGTCACAGTTCACCTTTAAGATTAAATATTATAACTAGGCAAATGCTTTATTTAAAGAGTTTGGGACAACAGGCCTTTCAGTGCAGCCTTTTTCCCTCCCACACAAAGCTTTTAGAGTTCATTATTTTCCTGGGTCTTTATGACTTGTCAGCAAGGGTAGTATCTAACGGGGTGTTTCTTTCTCCGGAGGATGCCTTGTGCCCCAGATCATGCAGGGAATTTCCTCCTGACCCACAGCACGTGCAAACCAGTGGGAAGACTCTCCACTGAGTTCAATCAGCTTTGCTCCAAACTGGGAATCACTTACTCGTAGATAGAGGCCAAGGTGGCTGGTCTAATACACAGCACTATAACACTGGCCCAACTACCCCTGGACGCTCTTGAAAACGAGTGAATTGAAAGCATCCCCAGGCTGTAGGACTGGGCAGCATGGGGAGGCAGCAGCCCCTGGCTTGGGGGGTCTCTGATTTGTAGTCTCATACCCTACCTTGGCTGTTTGGGAACAGCAGTCTTGGTAAGCCACCACCTGCAGGAATTTAACTTGGTAGCTCTTAAAAACAGAAGTGATGACTTTAGCTCACTGAAGAACTCGCCTTCCTTAGCTCGAAGAGTGTGTTTATTCAGTAAATGAAGATGTGACTTCAGTGCAGTGCATGTGTCCATGCTGGCCAATACGGCCTATGAAAATGCAGGGACACAGACTCCAGGGCCGGCTGGTTACCCCGGCACGAAGCCAAGGTAGCTTGGGCAGCCATGAGCATATCTTCATGCTGCTGCTTACTCTGTCAGATGAATTAAACCTAGCGAAGGGCATAACTGCCTGCGCTTCCAGCTGTAGTGTGGATGAAGCCAACGGCTGGTATCGATCCAGAAATCTCAAGACACAGATTAGACACTTGAGGAAATTGTAGCTATTCTGTGTTCAGTAAAGTGACAGCTCTCCTACATACTAATGACGCATGAGAAGTTCAGCAAGGGCTCAGATGTACAAGGGGCTCATGATCCAAAGCCAACCTGCCCCAGGGGTTACGTGTGGCTGTAGGCTGGAGCACACCATGTGCTAAAATCCAAAGTGATGGGGAGACATGAATCATTTCTGTGTCCCAGCACAAGGAGACTGTGAGGGAATATTGCTTTATTCCTCCATAAGATACACATATCTTAACAGGGTGTGCACCCCTGTGACCTCCACATAGATCACAGTCTGCTAAGGTATGAGAATTACCCTGTCTCATCCACCCTTTCTCCCCATCCAGCTAGCCAGTTTTCTCTGTTACGGCAAATATCAGTTGAACACAGGCATGCAGGGCTAGGAACAGACCTTGGTTCCTCTGCGTGCTGTCTGTTCCAGGGTGTAAGGCCACCGTGGCCCAGAAGCTAAATAGCTGGGTAAGAGCTGGTGAGAGCTATAGGGATATAGGAAACCCTGGATGAGGGACGTGGATATCACAAAGCACTTTAATGGGGCTTTTGGACCAGAACTAGCACATCTCTAAGTTGTAACATCATCAAAAGACCTAGGATGTGCTGGTGACTATCTGTGCAAATGTGCCCATAGATAACATTTGAAATAGCTTTCCTTGTGGTCAGTCATGGAGATCTTATGTCCGATGTATAGACACTTAAGAGATTAAATGTGATGTAATGTAAAGACTGAGGATCAGCTGATGAAGAAAGAAGCAGAGAGGCTCCTGAGAGGCCCAGAGGACAACTCTCAATCACGTCAGCCCTGCTGAAGTCCACGTAGCCTTCCTGCTTTACAGAAGGTGAGGATCTGGCCTTGCCAGAGCAAACTAAAGGTGTACTGCGAAAACAGATGCTAATAGTAACTTCATCTGGCAGCTCAGGGCAAGAGCCTTATCTCTGGACATCGTCTCTGTATTAATTTGATAATTTCCGTATCTCCATGGGAAAAGTCCTGCTCAGTTACAATTGTCTCTTTGCAAGATGATCCTGGCCAAGATGCCACAAGGTGACCATGGCAGATAACCTTCCATAAACCTGGAGACATAAAACAAGCCAATGACCTACTATATGGCCATAAATATAAATTTAACGAAGGCAGCACTTATTCATTAGGCAGAAGTCAAGAAATGACTCCTAAGTCCTTCAAAGAAAGTAGATCTGTTAATGTCACTTTCCAAATCCTCTGCCTGATGCCAAAAACCAAGAATGATTTCCCAAGTCAGCATGAAATACCAGTGCTTTAAAATTAACAGCAGGAAGCTTTCTTACTACTGATATATCTCTAGATTGAAATCCAACTTTTAAAAGAGGCATTCAGCTAGTGTTAGGCCTGACATTTAGCTTTTTTCAGAGAATGAAAGGATGGAGGTGGCAGAATTAAGCATATTCTTAAAAATAAATAAAATTAATTTAAGTGATGTTCTGTAAAGAATCCCTCCTGAGATGCCAGTAACCTGGCTACAGTGCCTGTCCAAGATGAGCTGTTATATAGGTGCCTCAGTTGAAAATAGTTATAGGGAAGAGAGAGATGGAGTCTGCTGTGATGGTCAGGGGTGTAAATCACAAGGAACTGCACTGAAGACAGTGAAGATGGTGAGGAGAAAGGATGA